GAAACAAGCTATATGAATGGTTGAATGTGAAGCTGATGATGTGCCCTGTAAACTTTCACTCAATCCAAAATAAAAACATTTAATAAAAAAAAAAAAAAAAAGAGAAATGGCTTCTATTTTGTCAATTCATTCTTCAATTGATGAGATTTTATTCTTTTTTCCTTCCAATGTGTTATCTGTCTCTGAAATGTTAACGTTAATCTTCTGGAATTATAATTGCTGTTTTCATGTCATTTCTTATTATCTACTTATTTGATCCCTTTGCTCTCGTGTTGTTTTCCTGAAACCTTGGGTATTGTCTGCATTTTCTTTAATTTTATTTGTGGTTTCCTTGAGTTCTTAGAATATTACCTTTTAATTTCATTTCCCCCCCATAACAAGTTTCAGTCTTCCATGAACTTTTTGAGTCATCTTATTGATTTATTGTGTGATCTGGAAGTATCGTTTGTCCCTGAGGCATTGTGGTTTTATTATTCTTATTTGTTAATTGAATGTGGATTTGGTTCACTTTGCATTTTTGTTTTGTTTTCTTTTAATATCTCCAGGAAATAAGTCAGACATGCTACTCTCCTAACCAGTTTGTTGTCAGCACTGGGGCACTCACCACCTGTCTCCTGGTGGATCTGGGAGCAGGTGGGATTATGGGTTCAAGTCTCTGGCCACCATCTGTTGTCAATCAGTGTTGTTGGAGTGGGTGATGGCTTTTGCCCAGTGGGTAGGGCAGCAGCTATGGCAGCTATGGCTGAGTAGAACTGCTGGTTTTCAACTAATGGGGGAAAAAGTAAGTAAAAGAGGGGAAGAGGAATCAAACATAAAGGAAAAATAAACAGAACAGAAGAAATAATAAAGAGGGGAAAAGATCAAATAAAACCAGTGGCACAGCAGCTGCAGCTTTAGTTGGCAAACACATAGGTGTGGTAGGTATGGCTAGAGAGAGTCACTGGTAGGGGAGGGAAGGAAAGAAAATAGGGAGCCGAAGAAAAGAGAGAGAAAGTAAACAGGGGAAAAGAAGAAAGAAAGAAGGGGGGGAGGGGGAGAAGCAGCTAAGCACCAGCCCAGGCCAAGTCTCACAGCACTCCTCCTGCTGAAGAGCACCTCAGGCCACGGGAGGAGTAACTACTACAGCAGGGCAGGGAAGGGGCTACGCTGCGCAACACTAGATAGGAGAGGGGCAGTGGGAGAGGGCAGTGGAGGAACTTCACCAGACAAAGGCTGGGTGGGATGGGAGGGCCATGTTTCTAGCTATTAGGCGGTCACGTGGGGCAAAGGGGGTGATCACAGAGGAGGTGGTCACTGGCCAGATCGAAATGCTGCTTGAAATAATTCAAAACAACTGCAAATGTGTTGGGCGGTCCAGTTGGCTGTGTTCACCTTCTTGTTTGCTGTTTTCATTCAATCTCTTTTACTCGGTATTAGAGCTACTTCTTTATCCTTTCTTCTGGTGTTCAGGGTTCTAGCGCTGCCTTCTGTATATGTTGCACTTGGTTTCTCAGGTCTTTTTTATGGAGGATCCGGGAAGTCTAGTTGTCTAGTTTTCCATCTTGGCTACTCCCTAGTAGTATTCGCTTTGGATGGCAATATGGCATGTTAAAAACAAAAACAAAAGCAAAAAACCCTGAATTCTGGCATTGGAAGATCTGAATTCTGAGCTTGGATACATGTCTCTGTCACTCTATTTCCTTATTACAGACATATTTCCTTATTATAGATATATAGACATGTATATGGAGATTATGGATGTGTTGAATAAGGAACATAAACTCTGTCTTTTAAAACTTAAAACTGCCATTATTAGAATATAAAGTAATAGGAGGAGAATGTGCTCAGTAAAGCTATAAAATATTTCACATTTTTGAGGGGGAATTCCATGAGTTCCACTACGATTAAATAATTTTATAACTTAGCAAGGATATTTGGCATAGAATCACAATTATGGCTTAATAACTCAAAGCAAAATGCTGCAATCAAATCATCCTCTAAAATATGCGATTACACTCACTGATCTAAGAACCCCATGGCTTACATGATTCTCAACCACCTGAGTCTCTTCCAACTTTGGCCTTTCCAGTCCTAGAAAGATGAGGATCTTCCTCCATGTGTAAGCAGTGACACTTTTAAATCTCATAAGATATTTTCTTTGGAAATATTTTTTTTTTCTGGCAAAAGTCCTGAGGTAACTTCTGAGCTGGTGGAGGGAAGAAAGATAAGTTTCATGTTAGTAAGTTGAAAAATAGCTGTGATAAAATTTAAATGGTGAACTAGAGATTATATCTGATTATTCTAATTTATGACCTTTGATAAAATAATTGCTGGGTAGAAATTAGGAATAGGAAAATACCTTTCAAGAATTGGACTAAATTTTAATAAGAGGATCTGAATGGTGGAAACGAATCTTATTACAGAAGAGATTCTCAATGTATAATAGTTGAGAAGACAGATGATTAGGAAGATGTACATCTCTGTATGCAAAACCTACGTATCAGTTTCAAAATCACCTTATGAGCCAACATGGGCTCTGAGTGGGCACTGTGAGAGCATGACCATGCCCAGGAAATAGCAGGTTTGCTCAGGTGCCTAGGAGGACAGGCACCCAGAATATAAACTGTTCCTCCATGTAGGCCTGAACCTGCTACTGCTTTACCAGCAAGAGTACGCATGACACAGAGCTCCATGGGGATATGTCCCGACTCTTATAAACAACAAAACCAAACCTAATGTCATTGAATTGATTCTGACTCATATCGACCCTACATAGGGTTTCTGGGATTATACATTTTTACAGGAGCATGCAGCCTCATTTTTCTCCCTTGGGCTGATATGAATAAATGATTGTTCCTTGTTTTGGATTTGCATTTAATTATGTTGCCCAAGATTACCTGTTCTAAATCCTAACCTTTATGTCTTTGATTCCATTTAGGAACAGGTTTTTCTTTGCTATGTTGATAAGACCACATCAGTATAGAGTGTGTCTTAAACCAAATCACTTTTGAGATAAAGATTAAAATGGGCTCCGAAGTAAGCACAAATGGGAGAAAGATAGATGCCACATGGAGATTTCTAAGGGACCCAGTAAAGAATGCTAGAGAAGCGGAGACAGGATTCTCCTCCAGATTAGACGGAGTGCCTTTGTTTGGTGCTAGTGCCATAGTTTTAGACTCTTAGCCTCCTTGTTGTTGTTGTTATGTGCCGTGGAGTCGGTTCCGACTCATAGCGACCCTGGACAGGGTTTCCGAGGCTGCAAAGCTTTCTGGGAGCAGAAAGCCTCATCTTTCTCCCGTGGAACAGCTGGTAGTTTCGAACTGCTGACCTTGCAGCTCGCAGCCCGATTCGTAACCCTCCTAAACTGGAGAAAATAAGTTTGTTTGTTAAAACTGCTATCTTTTGGTATTTTTATTACAGCTGCAGTAGGGAATTAAGAGAGATGATAATAAACGCTTTATGCCTTAGTTTGACATTGAAGGTTCTCCATTCCTGGCTCCAACCATCCTTTTCAGCATTGTATCTGCTCCACTTAGATCTTGCTCTGCCCCCTATCTACACCTTCTGTTGCCAGTTGTTTCCATGAGGTGATCTCCTGCTCATCCAGCTGGTTCAACTCAAATATCATGTCTCCTCAGGAGAACAAATTAGTTTCTGATCTAAGTTCCTTTGTCTTTGCAATAACTACGTAAACTTTAAGACTCATAATAATTGTGCAAGGTCTATATGCTAAAAACTATAAAATACCGAAGAAAGAAACCAAAGAAGATCTATATAAATGAATAAATATAGCAGATTCTTGGATTGGAAAACTTAATATGATTAAGATGCCAATTCTCTCCAACTTTGATTTACAGATTTAATGCAATTTAAACCAAAATCCTATCATGCCCCCCCCTTTATTTTTAGAAATCAACAAGCTAATTCTAAAAGTATATGTTGTTGTTGTTGTTAAGTGCCATTGAGTCCATCCTGATTCATAGCAACCCTGTAGAGGATTTCCGAGGAGGGGCTGGTGAACTTGAACTGCCGACCTTGAGGTTCAAACAAATTTTGCAGTCCAGTGCATTAACCCACAGCACCACACCAGAACTCCAAAAACTTATATAGAAAGACAAAATAACTAAAGTAGCCATAAGTGAAAAAGAAGTTCAAAGTTGGAGGATTCACCCTCCTTAAGACTTACTATAAAGAAGAATAGTAATCAAGGTGGTACTGATGCAAGGTTAGATGAATGGGTGAGGAGAGATGGCAGAAATAAACCCACATAGATCCATCAACTAATTTTTGACAAAGGTGTAAGGATAATTCCATGGAGAAAAATACAGTCCTTTAAAAAATAGTGCTGTAACAATTAGATATCCATATATACATAGAAATATTAACACCAATCAATATCTCACACCTTAGCTAACAGTTACTAACATGAACTCCAAATGGATAATCAACCTAAATATAAAACTTTGAACTATAATTCTTTTAGAAGAAACAGGATTCACATATGAGCAAAAAAAAAAAAAAAAAAAAAATCAATTAAAATTGATGAATGGACTTTTATTACAATTAAAACTTTTGCTCTGCAAAAGACAGTTAAGAGAGCAAAAATAGAAGCCACAGACTGGGAAAAAATATTTGCAAATTGCTAAAATTTATTTATACTCATGTCTTCTCCTATGGACCGCGAGCTCCCTTAGAAGAGGTACTATACATTATTATCTTTGTTTCCCCATTAGCTACACATAATAGAGATTCTAGAAATATTTGTTGAATGAATGCATGATGAGTGGATGTGTGAATGGATGGGCAGCTGGCTGGCTGAGTGTTGAGTAAAGAGTTATGAATGTTGATAGGTACAGGGGATTACTTTATAAGGCAAGTGAGTGTTTAGTAAATACAAAGAAAAAGTGTTTCATGTTTTGCTCCTTGAACAAAATCCTCAGTATTATGAATAAAGGAAATGTGGGCACCAGCCAAAATCTCGTGTATACAAACATAAATCAAATAACCAAATTCTAGTTCACAATCAAGGTTGACTGGATGTTTTTCGAAGAGAAAGACTAAGATAACAATGCCAGAGTTGACTGTGCCAAAAACTAAGCTTTGTGAAATATACTTCAGAGAGCGAAGATATGACCTTAAGCATGGGTGAGGCAGACTGAGAGGCTTCCTGGAGGAAGGGGTGTCTTGCTGGAGCCATCTAGACTAAGGAAAGCCAGTGCTACTGTTTCCAAGCCCTGCCAAGGTAGTCACGTCAGATGGGTTTAAGGGTTGGTTTTTATGAGATTAGGCTTGGGCAGAGTGGAAATATAGTATACATATGCATCAAAGGGAAAGCCACTGAAATATCAGCTGATGTTCCTACAAACCTTTACTTCAAACTCTGAGCCACAAATACTTACCACTGTCAGCCACAAAGTGGTCAGTACTGTATAAATGGCCACATGGCAGCAAGTCAGTGCCCACTGATGAGATTTGGAAAGACCCAACAATGCTTTTCTTCTGCTCTTTCCCAGAAAAGGAACGGCCAGTATGTTGGAGGACTCTGTAAAGGTGCTTGGTGGCAGTGCTGGGGAGGAGAGCAGGACTCTGTGCAGATGTGAGTGGATGGCCACTATCAGGGCTCCAGCCAGCTGTTGGGAAGAAAACCAATCCTTTTCTAGGAGCAAACACTCTGTTGTGGGCTTGTAAACATTTTCACATACAAAAAAAGCTTGGAGAAAGAGGTTTTGCAGCATTGACATCATCCCTAGCTTAAGAATGAATTCCCAAAGGTCCACAGGTTGAAGTTAAGGCAAGGCTACAACTGGCCCAAACCCATCTCCAGTCTTGTGCCTGTCTCTAGAGTCTCCATGTTTCACCTCTCAAACTCCACCAGCACACCCCCGATCTCAGGACAACTATCTCCTTGAACATCCTCTTTAGGTGGCATGCTTATTCATGTCCTTTGTCGAGTTATTAGTGTTTTTGCTATTAAGTTTTAGAAGTGTTTTAGATATTAGAACTTTATTGGTTGTATCTTTCCTGAAGATTTCCCCCCAATCTCTAGGTTGTCTCTTTACTCTTTTTTTTCTAAAGGGGTTTCAAAGGCGGCTTTTATGGTACTAGATTACCAGGCCTTTCTTCCAAGACTCTTCTGGGTGGATGCTAGTTTCTGATCAAGGATTAGCACCACCCTAGAGCTTACTGACACATGCTGTTGTTGCTGTGAAGTGCCATCAAGTCGGTTTGGACTCATAGACACCACGTAGAGTTTCTAAGGAGTGGCTGGTGGGTTTGAACCACCAAGCTTTTATTTGACAGTCCAGTGCTTAGCCTACAGTGCCATCCTAGGACTCCATTAATAAATGATATTGTTGTTGTGAAGTACCATCGAGTCGGTTCCGACCCATAGCGACCCTGCAGAGGGTTTCCAAGGAGCGACGGATGAACTTGAACCACCGAGCTTGTAATAAATGATAGGAAGGTCAATTTGAGTTAAATTTAATTTGTTGCCCTGGTTTTGCAACCATCTTAGAACTAGGTCTGGGATCTAGGAGTTTCCATGCAGAGGGCTTCAAAAAGTTTGTGGAAAACTCGAATTGAAAAGTCATGGAATTTTTCCACAAACTTTTTGAAGCCCCCTCATATTTTGTTCATTCAATCCACTCACACACGTCATGGGAACAAGAAGTATTTCCTCAGCCTGGATGATGGACTTGGGTCCTGTCATCCCAGGTCCACACAAGCTCTGCATGTGCACCAGCCTTGGAGGTGCCTCCCAAGTTCCCATTCAGCCCATTATTCTCCCCTTTTTATTTTATTCTAACCCAGGCTCTGCACTGAGGATCATTGTGCATATGGATAATTGTGCCCTATCTAAGAGTATGTCACTTAGATGAATTTTTTCACTTCTCTTCACCTCGTTTTCTTTACCTCTAACAAAGAACACTACCTGCAACAAATGGGTAATGATAAGGAAGTGAAGTAAAATATGAAAGGCTTCATGCAATATTCCTGGCACTTAGAAAAAACTCTCTAGGTGACCATAGCTACTAGCATTAATAATAATAAGTCATGAGAAAGACCTTAATAAATTAAGGTTCTCATTGTCATAACCATAATTTATTAAACAACCCTTGTTTTCAACTATCTAAAACCTTAGAGTAATGGATTGTTGTTAAGTGTTATCGATTTGGTTTCGACTCAGAGCAACCCTATATAGGGTTTCTGAGGAGTGACTGGTGAGCTTGAACCACCGACCTTGCAGTTCACACTAAGCTTGTGGTCCAGCACATTAACCCACAGCATTACACCAGAAAACAGGAATTCTAGGTAGTTGTTTCAGCTTGCAAGAAGTCTGTCCTTCCTTGGAGAAAGGACTAAGTGAAGTAAAGACCAGCATTATCTTTGTTTCTGGATGAAATAACATGAAAATGTGGACAGTTCTTACCCCGGGCATGATGATGCTGGAGAGTAAGTGACACGGCATGAAGAAGCAGGAAGCCATTGTCTTTGGAGCTCCAAGAAGAAAGATGCTTTTTAATGTTAAGAGGAATAAAAGGATTCCTTGGAGCCATCGCACCCTCTGACAGAGAAGAACATAGTAGTTAAGTGTGTTTTACCAACCATATACTTTTGTAAGCCAGGGGCAGGCAGAACATGCAACAAGTATGCACTGGATTTGATTAAGTTACACAGAACAGGGATTTAGTCAGTGTTAGAGGACAGGGACTCAGAACTGGGAGAAAATACAAATTGCAATGCATATTTAGAAACACTAAGTATGAATTCTGATCTATCTATCTATATATACTTGTGAAGACCACCAATCTTCTGTGAGTTTGTCATACTGTGGAGGCTTATATGTTACTGTGATGCTGGAAATTATTCCACCCGTATTTTAAATAGCACCAGGGTCACCCATAGTGGACCGGTTTAAGCAGACTAAGATAGAATAGGGAGAAAGAGAGGTTGACCACTTCTGAATGGTTAGCCACTGGTAACCTGATGAAAAGCAGCAGAACACTATCTGACATAGTGTCAAAAAATGAGCCCCTCAGGTTCAAATGATGACTTCAAATATGACTGGGAAAGGGCTGTCTCCTCAAAGAACAGTAGATCTTAATGATATGAATGAAGCAAAACTTTCAGGACCTTCATTTGCTAATGAGGCATAATTTAAAATGAAGAGAAACAGCTGTGAACATCCATTAATAATCAGAATGTGGAATGTACAAAGTACATTGTTGTTGTTAAGTACCATCAAGTCAGTTCTAACTCATAGGGACCCTGTATAGAGTTTCCAAGGAATGACTGCAGGGTTTGGTAGAACTTTATCCTACAGCACTGAAGTATGAATCTAGGAAAACTGGAAACTGTAAAA